ACACGCACACCACAACGATATTATTAATACGTACCCAATCGACGGCGCGTTGAGTATGCAATTTAGCAGCACGCAAGTCGTTCGAAGTAATATAATAGTAATAATAACTTGTGTATTATATGGCGTATAATACATATAAATATATATATACGAACCAAGAAAATAAGGCAATAAATAATAATAATATTCCGTTTCGAACGGGTCCAACGGAATTTCGTTATTTTTGCAACAAGAAATAATGCTATTTTAGTAATTTATCTTGATTTTTTTCACTCGTCTTGTCATCGATTTTAAATCGATATTATTTAATCATACCAATACACATTGGGGGTTCACATATAGGTTCGTGACAGTTCCAGAGCCTTAGCGTTGCAAGGGTGTCATGTGATTTTAATTTAATTAAATGAAAAATATTACAAATATTGTGTAATATTTAAATATATTATTAAATTTTTATATTTTTGTCGTATTTTTGCACTCTTCAATAAATTGTCACATTACGATTTATGTACAAATTTAAAATTTTGCTATATATATACAATATTTATATTTAACTTATAGTTTTTATATATCATAACTATATACTATTAATTATCATAATATTAGATTTAAAAAATTCTTGTTCTTAGGTTAGGTCCATGGTTCATATTTTCGAACTAATTTAAATTATTAACAAATTATTTTTGTATTACATTTACAGTTGATATCATTTGGTAAATAATTATGCTCTTCTACATTCTGATGCCACTTATTAGACAAATTTTGTTTTGGACAATTATATACTGTTTCACAATGTTTCGCGATTTCTCATTTTGCAGATCCTCAAATTGGTACAATATATTGAGAATGAGCCCTACTCTGAGAATTTACAAAATTCTTACATTAGTTTACCTTTAGATATAAAAAACTTAATTTTTAAATTTGTAATAGTCTCGATTCATCTAATTTGTCTATTATATTTTCGATTATTTTGACTAGCTAAATAATTTCCTTGGTCCTTGAGAGGAGTATTTAAGAGATTTTATGATAAATGCAGTTCATTCTTAATAGTAGGTTACATTTTACTAGATTACCCTACGGTCGACGAAATATTGTACTGCTTCACTGCAATAAAGCCGATCATAATTCATAAAATCTACAGCCATCGAAGACGGGCCATTTATCTTAAAGCAGATATATGAATCGTGTGCGATTAAATAAATCAGCTTATCGGTTATTGGTGGATTGAAATGTCTTATAATATTTATAAACCCTATTCTCACTTCATAATATTTATATTTATTATATTATACTAAGACATACAGTCTGCTAGCTTATTGGATAGTACATAAAAGAGATGAATAAAACAAAATTTTTCTAACGAAATTAGAATGTTTATCGGATTAGGGAAGCTGTTTATATAAATAATAATTGATGAAGATTGAAATATTATTGTGGTACATCTGTTAAAATTATACATCTTATCGTTAATTATGAATACTATATAATGTTCCGTCTTAATTACAATGCGATAAACGGTATACTTTCCATAGAGGTTTGTTGAAACCATAAAACCATTTTGTACTGTAATTAAATAAACGCCTATGCGAGTATAGGAATTTAACGAAAATTACGAAGACAAAGAAGCAAAAAAAAAAAAAAAAACCAAATATATACGAAAAAAAAAAAAAAAAAAAAAAAAAAACCAAATATATACGCATAAAAAAATAAAAACTTATATATAATGTATCATACTCATACATAATGCGGTCTCTATAAACGAAGACGAAAACGTCTTCATGTCGTCCCGCTGCTGCTGCATGCAACTATATGAAACGATGGTGACGGTCTTCACGCGTAAGTGGAATGTAATTTCAATGATTCTGTTTTACATAAATTTAAATAAAGGTTTCTACGGCCGTTTTTCACCATTTGTGCGATCACCACCACGTGCCACTGTCCTCTCATCTGTTTGAACTATATTATATTGTAGTGGATTACGTGGTGTGCGAATGTGTGGATTAATAACGCGGAGGAAAGGACTTGAATGAAATTGTGTTGTTCAATGATTTTGTTTCTTCGGGACTTTTTGCGCACCGATAATAACCTAATTCGGAGTTCTTCGAACGCCCTATGCTAAGCGTACCATTGGTTTTCTTTTTTCTTATTTTCCCGATTCGCATACTATTATAACATATGAGCTATGATTTGATGATCGGTAAAACTCGTCGATCACATATCCACCATCCCTCGACTATAAAATATATACTCGTAGATGCATATTATTCATAAATATTAAATTGGATAGACCATCACGTTAATCTATTTTACTAGGCTAGTCGCAATATAATGGAATACTGAAACAACATAACATCGATTCACATTATTTATTGAGGGACTACAGCAGCTCATGGTTCTTTGTAAATCTGATGATTTTACTATCTACTTTGAATTTTTTTTTATATGTTCTATATGATGTATTAGTTTTTGGCTTTAGTATTTTTTTTCTTTTTCCGTTCACGCCTATGTAATTGTGATTTGCAGTGACCTTTTAATTTTTTATCAAAATGATATAGGTTAATTTTCAGTCATTACAATAATTATAGAAGGATTATAATGTATATTATAAACATTTTGATCTGGATTTATGCATATATTTCAAAATATAAATATTGTTACATTTTATAAACGTTAAATATTAAAATAATTTTATATTTAGTATTTATTCATTATCGATTTAAGAAACTGTAGTTATATTTTTTTTTAATTTTTATATTCTGAATGAAACTAAAAATTTAGTGGTATTGCTATGATGTGTAGTTAATTTTTTTCGTGTTTGTTCTTTTAAATAATTTTAGTTATTTAGTTAAATATATTTCTTGTTTTTGAAATTATAATGAAATTTTGTGCTTAAAAATATTTAAAATCTTTTGATTTTCCTCAATTTTAAATGCCTTTTTTTTTATAAAAGTGAATACAATAAAAGTTTAACCTACCTCATTAAAAAATTTGGTTCTTGTACTATATGAACCATCTTCAGAAGTATAAACTATTCCACCTAAACTATTTCGCTTAAAATCAGTTTTTCAATAACAATAGTACGAGAACATTGATTTTTGAAGTTCAAAAGGCAAACACAGCAATACCATTCACCTATTCCTGTATCTCATCCGACTATAGTATCTCACTCGACTTAAGTCTCACCCTTTATTTTTTATTTAATTAATTTTTTTTTTCTATATTTAAACGGAGATATTCATCTCTCCGTTTACCAATCACTATTTCGTCTTACATTATTTAACTTTGTTTGCTTGTTCTTGTTCGCTTGGTATCATTGATAGACTAAAAGATAAAAATAAATATAATTTATATACTGTCGTCTCGTAGTTTTATGATTTGGATATTATGACGTAATATGTATTCTATGTGATATGCTATAATAAACCGATGTTTCAACTTAAATTACTACAGTTTACAATATTTATTATTTCATTATTATTTTTTAATTCTATTTACTATAGTTGTTACACTATATTGTTGATACGACAAAATCTGTTATATTTATCAGCATTAAATGTTTTGTTCTCCATTATCATATCATTTATGAAATAAACTTTTAAAATAACAAACACAAGTAAAATATTACGACTTATAAAGGATTTTTACTACCAATTTTTCTATTTTAAATAGTAAATATATTTATAAATAATTTATGGTTGATAATTAATTCAAATATTTTTATTTTTTTTTTTGTGATTATAGTTGTTCATATAATTTTTTTATTACTTATTATTGAATGATTATTCTAAGAGCATAGAAAATTTTAACAGTTACTGCGCATTTTTAGTGTCCGAAGATCATGGTAAATCCACATTCTTGAGCAAACACAAAGTTTTTACTACGTAAACATCATATTTTCCGATCTTGGTTTTTTCTATTTTTAGTTATTATTATTTGTTTAAATAAAACACACGTACGTGATCTTTTATTCTTATTTTGTTTCCCATTTTAGAAAATTCAAAATAATAGCTCGGATTGAACTGGTTAAACGTTACATTTTATGTTGAATCTCAAACAAACACGTATATAAAAATGTACTCGTATATAGGCAATTATCCATAGCAATAATGTAATTACGTGTAAAAATAAATATTCATCATGTACACGAGTATCTAGCACGTAATCAAAAAATATTATATATCTAATATTTACATAGCGTTTAATAGCTGTTTATTTCACATGAAAGTGATCGAAATTTTTTTCAAGTATTTTGATCCTTTTGGCCCATTTAGTTTATAAACGATGGCTTCACTATCATGCACCTTGGCCGTGCGTTTCTTTATTGGCTTAAAGATGAGAAATAAATTACCTATTCTATGGCATTGCATGTAACATGTGTTAGTTAAGTATGTTGTTCTACTATTATTGGACTATGTTATAATTAGGGGAGGGTTTTAGGGGATTAGAATCCAATTTTTCTTCTACGAATTAAGTCGCATCTATTTTTCTTACGATTGATTTTATCTTTCTTAACTGTAGTCCAATGACCGAAAGTCAATCGCGACCGATTCGAAGGCGAGTTGATCATTTCAGATTAATATATAATAGCATTACGTATAACAAAAAACGAACACGTGATGTATGTAAAACGTGCACTGCTAAATCTAATAGAAACTTAGAATAATAAAAATACTAACTCCGGTGAAAACTTTTTTTTCCATCGCTTAAAAATAAATTTATTAGACCAAGATTATGTTATCATACATCGTCCTGGTGATGATGCAAACGCCCTCTGCAGGAAAATAAAAATTATTTACGCTTCGTTTATGCTGTATACTTATATAAAAAAAAAATGAACTCTAAATAGCTATTTTAATATTTCAATCACAATATATTATATAGGTAAAAGTTATTTACATTTTGAAATTTAAATAAAAATATTGGGTCATATTTGGTTCGCTTAAAGCTATTTCCAAGAATTGATTCTTAAGGTTTTTTAAGATTATATCATTATTTTACAGCAATAGCGGCAATCACGGGATGTTCTTCGCAAACTATTCAAATAACTCCGAAAGAAAAGGAACTGGTGAGAGAAGAACGGTCGAAATACGGCGTTTCATGCTTTGGTCCGAATCTTTCGGAGTTTCAATGGCGAGGTCCCGCGGGTATCATATCGCAAAGCCCACAGTTCAGGTGAGTTTCCTATGACGGTAAAAGATTATTTATTTTCTTTTGCCCATTAATATAGTAGCTTTAGAGTATATATATATATATATATATATATATAATAAACTATAATGCATAATTTATTAATATATGTATTTTTTTTTTTTTTTTAGTAATTTTCTAAAGTAACAATAATTCACTTTTGATACCAACATTTAGTTTGTTAAAAATATCTTCTTCGATATCGGTTACTATAAATGTAACTTTAATGTTAAATATCTATTAAATCGTTACACTTAATATTTAATAAACTTCGTAGTGACTACCACTAATTATTTTAAAATCAATTTTATAATTTTTAAAAACACAGATGTTAATCATTATGAGTCTTAATTTTTTTTATATTAGATTAGTAAAAGTAATAGTTGTTTTTGCAAACTTACTTAAATAAATTAAGAACAATTATTAATCTTGATTTTATAACATTTACTTTAAAATTATTTTGTATAATTAATTATTCAAAAGTGAAACAAGAGTAAAATCTGAATCAGTGACGATAAAATGTGTTGGATTTTTTTTATATCTATGCAACTTGATTCGTTATAAGTAATATATATATATTTTGTAATATTTATATTTATTATAAATATAATAATTAAATACATATTACTCGTATAGTAAATTGCATTGTTGTTTTAGTCAGATATACAAAAACCATACTTATAAGCTCAATTTATTATACAACTATTTTCATTTTTCGCGTGTTTGTGTGTTATAATATTATACACTAACAATTGAAATGAAAGTTGACTATTTTACGAAATACATTAATTAAATCTCAAAAATAGTGAAACTTACGATTATAGAACCATTTTATCCTCCTATCGCTTAAATATTATATTATACATATTTAGGTATAATTTACTCATATGCTTAACTTGATTGACTTAATGCTATTAAAAATTTAATAATAATTTTTGAAAACATTTTTTTTCTTTGATCCTTCTATTAATAAAATACAATTCAAAATATTGTGTCTCAAATGAAGAATCTCATGTGCATCAAACATTACCATAGGTGAGGCAGGAGAAGAGCTTATTAAATAATATAGAACTACCACTAGTATTGTGAATAAAACGAATAAGTTTTTCTCTAAAATTCGAACATTTGCTATCAAACTTCTATCAGCAGATCTGCGAAACGTAATTCACCTCGTGATTATATATGTCTCATACGAGTAAACACAACACATCTGGGATTTTTGAATAATCGTTAATGAATAAAATATTAAATAATGACTAAATTAATTTGGTAGAAATGGCAATGTTAATTAATTTTAATACATGGAGTGCCAATGCTGACCGAAATTATATCTAGGCACTAATAGACCGTATTACCTTGCACCAACAAACGTAACTACAACACGCACGATTTTTATTCACAGACCATGATCGTAATCTATTTAATTAACATTATTTATTTATAATAATGTGTTGTCTATTTTTGATGTATTTTAATTATAATTGAATTTTTTCCTATATCAATTATAGAAGTTCAAAACAAAAACGTAAATTATTAAAAAAAAGTACTACTGATTTTCATTTATGAACATAAATCAAGAGTAAAGCATTTCTTGAATTTAAATTATTTTAACTTTCTTGTTATATGTTTTCATAAAACATAATAACCAAGAATATAAAAATGATAAAGAAAATTATTAAAACTATTAGAAATATTAATTCCAAAATAAAAATGATGAATGTAGTTATTGTAACGTTTTATTAAGAATTTATTGTATGGCACTCTTAAGTGATACATATGTGACAAAACTAGAAGTACAGTTGAGTTATTATAAAATATTAATCGTTTATAAGCAGTTTTCATTATAATTATGACTACAATTTATAATTTATAAATAGCTAGTTCAAATTAGAGTAATGATTTTGAGTAATTTTCGTTTTTGGTAAAAATTAAATAAAAATATACTTGAGAAATTTTTAAAATATTTTAGTAGTTATAGTTTAAAATATTAATCTCAATTTTAAAATGTTTTTTTTACTTTCAATTGTTATATATTTGTATTGTAATGAATTGTATCCAACAATCCAAAATTTACTAGGTGATTTAAATATGCTCAACCTTTTTCTTATTTAAACTAGTTATTTTATTCTAAATTCTGATTTTTGGAAACATAATTATATTTAGTTATAATACATTCCTATTTATACATTTTTGAACGTTTTAAGAAGTATTTTCAAATGGGAACATCATTTTTCTTCCTAAAATTACTATTTGGTTAATTTTTTTATATTAATTGATGTGGTGTGTTATTTCCCTTAGACATACAACTTCAATATCTCTTAGCTATATATTTGTATGGAAAAACATAAGACGCGGAAACTCAGTAATTATGTGCTAAAATTTATTACGTAAGATTATAGATTATACTAAATTCATACCATTGTACATATTTTCACTTAACATTTTGACACCCATGTCATCTTTACCTCACCAACGTGGGACCATGTCAAACATTTGAACAAGAAATTTAAGGCAATGGACTATACGTTACCTTTATTTAAAATTTATTAAAAAAATTCTGAACTACAATTTATAGGTGTAATTTAATGTTTGGTATCTCGAATGAGAATATTTTAAAATTGACCCTTGGCCGGTTATTACCGTTGTTCATTTTATCTATATACATTCGCATCAAGTTATGCATTGTAATATATTTGCGTAATCTTGAAATTATAATGGCAAAAATAAATAATAATTTTCTAATGACTTTAAACTTTTTATTCATAATCTTAAATTTAATAATCTAAAAAAATATAAGTTCAAATACTTACTATGTTACATAAAAGTTTCCAGAAAGATAAACTAAATAAAAATTCGAATAAAAAAAATGGTATTCCGTATGAAATCAAGTTATAAATATTAAAGGATATTTCTTAAAAAGGAACATACATTTTATAAATTAAAAAGCAAATTCTTGATTTATACAAACATTTTCCAAAAATCATAGTTTAAAATATGTATAGTTTAAGTATTAAAAGAGGTTGGCGTACATCTTAAAAAATTAAAATATATACAATTACGTATACTATGATATAATAAAAATATATAAAAACATTCTCCATATTGATAATATTATTTCGAAAAGTAATACAATTAATATCAATCTTAATCTATATAATTTTAGATTTTCAATTAATATAAATAATGACTAAACATTATTTTCCTATGTATTATAAAGTGAATTTATGCAAGTAGTTCTACTATTATAGTTTTTAATTATCAAATAAATACATGATCATAACATTAAAAATTAATTAAGAATTAAGTATTTAATAGTAAATCAAAAAATAATTTGTAGATTCACGAGAATAAAATTAAATTAAATTTATAGCATTATGTGATAATTTGTTGTGCATTAATATTTATTATTATAATATAATATTAATATCAGTCTATTTATTTTCTTGTTATATTTTTTAATATTATAGTTGTTGGTCGTTTATTATCAAATTGTGTTAACCAGTTATTTGTACATTAATTTTGTAAGTATTTTATGAATATTACCTAGTAGTGTCCTTAGTCATATTCGAAACCCGCAGAAAAATGTTTTTTTTTGTGAGAAGTTTAATAAAAGTTTGTGCACGTTTCAGGTTTATATTGAAATATAAAACTTGGCAATATTTTAAACAGTACGATAACTCAGTAATATTGCACTGCAGGGTTTTATAATACAGTTGCATTTGATTTATTTATCGGTATACTGCAGCAAATAAAAACTAACACTCTGTATTTGTAGGAAAGATCCGTTTACAGTAGAAAAAAAATATGATTGTTATACCTATCGATGTATGTAAGTATGCGAGTGTGTGTTATAAACATCAATAGCCTTCTGCATGGGCATAGCTAAGATTTGAATCAGGGGGGGGAGATAAAAACATTAGGCGATTAGTGTTAAACTCGTAATTCAAATAATCTGAAGATAGACCATTGATAACACATAAAATGTCAAAATGATTACATGTATAGATAACACTCGGTCCCACTAAACTATATTTAGTCAAATCTTATTTAATTTTTGATTTTAATGTAAAACTTACACGTTAGTATAAACTAATAGAATTCAGTTTGAGGTGCAGGGCAGGAAGTACGTAATGTATGTATTATATGTGTATATACGTGCATTTTAGTAATTTTATTTATATATATATTAATTTATAATTATTGACGTATGTTTTATAACGAAAATGAAGACTAATTACCATCTCGTCCCATTATAAATTTTAAATAAATTAAAATATATACTCAACTTATTTATACACCGAAGTTTGAGTAAAGCGAAAACATAATAAAGGTCAACGTAAATTTAGTGTAATCAATTAAAAAGTTGTGCCCCTAAAATTAAATCAACATTTTTTTATAACATATAAATTATACATAATAGACGATGTTTTTTTTCAACAAGACAGCACTAAATTTCTTGGCAAAACATATCTTAAAAACAATATGAGTAAACTAGGATGACAACTGTGGCTTCAAAAAGTTTTTATACACTATTAAATTTTTTATACTAATAATTAATAATTACTATTATAAATATTGCCTATTTCTTTGATAAGATAATATGGTCCATTGAATTGGTTCGTGTGGGGCAATGATTTTATAATTTACAATATTATAATAATTAAGTATACATTTTAATAATACATTAATTTAATTTACATTTTAATTGTTTAACAGTATTATACTTATAAAATAAATATTAAAACATTAAATTGGTTTGATGTTCGATTTTTGTTCACTGAAATTTTTAATAAAATATTCTTAGTTAAATTCAATAGATACCCTTACACATTTTCATATTTAAAATAATAACGTTCTTATAAGTTCAAATTACAAAAAATAAATGTTACATTGACAATGACACATTAATGAACTACAATAATTATTTTCGCTTGTTAAATAAATTATTCTATTTAACACCTAATAAATTAATGTTGTTTTTTTGGTTCGGATAGATAATTATAGAGACGCAAGTATATATGAATATATTTGTTTCAATACTTAATATTTAAATTACATTGTACTACGACTAATATTGATTGATAACCCTTGCTTAAGTCAATGTTATGGTATTACATGTTTGTTTAGTAATGCAAAATATGTATTAAGTAGTATAAATGTTGAAAACTGCAGTGGTAAATTTTTTTCTAGAGTTAAAATTTAAGCCAGACAAGCAAAATAATATACTCTCAGGAATAGTGATCATCAGAATACGTGCTACTGACGAAATGTCTTAGTCGATCGTAAATCTACAAAAATATATTTATTTTTTTTTTTTTTTTTGATTTTTATAGTTGTTGAAAAATCTTAATTCGAATGGTTAGGCCATATAGTCGAGAAAATACTCAGAGTGGCAAAAACATTTACAACTTTTTTAAGAATTCAGACTAAGATATTAAGTTACAAGACAAAAAATACATTTTCTTAAAATTTTACTTTTTCGTTAGTTATTAAACTCGTATAAATAAATACATAAATAATTAAAAAAAACTGATTTCTTTGACTGTTTGGTCGTAATCCTTTCAAATGTCATCTAATGACTTAAATATTGAATCATTTTCTCTAATAATGCATATATTGGGTAACATAGTAATTATGTTATCAAATAATTTATGATATTTGATACACATTAAAGAATATAATATATTGAAGTAGTAATTATTTTTTATGTGAATAAAAATTAAGACGCCTGATTCTTCGCTTATAGTATATGTATGATATATATATTGAGTATTAGTAATTATATACAACTTTATTCATGATATGAAATAACTTGGATTTAAACATAATGAATTTTTTTAAATTTTCAAGATTAATCATATTATATTAACCATTCAAAGATACCTACATTATAATTCGATGTATTATTATAAATAGTCATTCAGATACATTATAAAATTAATTTTAAAATACGATTATGTATTATGATTTTCAGTAATTTATTTAATAACTTTATTTTGTTTAAGGGATTTATTAGTTTAATTTGTTTTTAATCTATTTTTATGATTATCAGAACACTTTATCTCCATGTTTTATTTATTCGTTTTAGAATATTTTATTATAGTTTTCCGTCATGATTTAAACACTCTCAATAATAATATAGTGAAAATGCGGTAGTACATACAAAAAATAAAAATAAAAATAAACTTCCGTTGGCTCTGATTTGTTGTCACGTCGTACATAATATTTATATCTATTCGTATATTTCTTAAAGCAGTTATTTGTAATATATGTAACAACGATTTTATGCTTGATACAGGGTTCATTCAGTAGAGCTGCCAATGCAAATGAACCAGACCGGTCTGCTGTTGGTGTTCGAAAGAGTCTTGGAAGAGGATGTAGGCAACTACTATTGCTCAGCCACCGGAAAGGATGGACGTGGCCATAGCATTAGCATCAAGTTGACTGTGACCAGTAAGTTTCACCATTTGATTGACCTCCTCGTTTTTCAGCCCATCCATCACGGCTATGTGGCTATATATTTATATTTATATCTATATACGCTGGTGACTAGACGTTTGAATACATATAGTTATTATGTGTACACATATTGTGTGATACACGTGAGCATATATATTGTTTACGCTCTACATATAGTACATATACACATACGTACACGTGTTGGGTATACGAGGGTGTACCGTGTTAGTGGTTAATCGAGAGATCGAACCTATTGAGGTGTTTTAATCCGAAATGGTGGTATTGTGGTGCCAGCAGCGGTATAGTGGTATGTCGGCTGTCAAGTTTGCTGTCGGCGGGTGTGCACAGAGATCGAATAAAACGAAAGAGAGAAAAAAAAACCTTACACACTGACACATCATTCTATGGTTATAGCCGATACGAAAGTGATCACCGAGAGCTTAGCCTAGTTTATTTCTATAATGTGTATGTGTTTGTATATATTGTGTGAGCTGGTAGATATATGCGTATATATATAAAGATGTATTAATATCGGATCTTGTTCCAAAGTGTTTTTCCGAATATAATCTCCGACCCTTTGGACAAATTGCCGCACGTTAGAGTTTAACTTGAGACGCGAAATTGATGAGACCGACGAGTAGAAACAAACTTTTCGCTTAAATGCTTTTTTTTTTTTTTTAACTTTTTCAGTAGTTTTTTTTTCTTTACACAATTTAAAACTTCAAACACTCGTCCTCATCCCGTCTTCGTCGTCACGCTGGCGTATACTTTTACGCATTTGTATTTTATCAATTTTTCCGTGACTTTCCTTGGTCAGAAAATGTAGAATATCAAATTAAAAAAAAAAGCACCTCAAATTTTCGTATCACATGAATTGCCTTCTTACATCATAACATGTCTCAGTAAAACCAATAGCTGTTCAAATGTAATTGTTTCATTTTCTGTCTCCTATTACTAACCACACAGTTATAAGTAAATATCAATATAATTGTTAAATAAAAGGTTATTCGATTTTTTTTTCGTTTAACTCATGTTGAAACATCAAACAAATAAGAAACGCCGTTTCATTTACTTAATTGTTTTTTAATTCATTGATTCATAGAGAAAAATACATTATAGCTGGTAGGAGTTTGATGGTTATGTGATAGAACACTGCTGGTATGTTTCACATTCAATCTGGTATTACAATAAATTAAAATATAATTTAATATTATACAATATTAAACAACAAAGATCGACGTTATTATAAGTATCGTGATATATGGTGTACCGTCAATTCATCGCGCGATAATTTGACGTGGTCATTTGGATGCACGACAATTGATCGTGTGTGATACCGGTGAATGCTACATTTGGTTATGCATTATTTCGTCGCAAAAATATATATTTTGAGGGTTCTGTAACTGAACAATCTCCCTCCTCATATTGTTATCGTATAGTCTCCATATAATTTATCCTATTTGCTTATTGTATATATATTACAGATTGTATATTTTCAATTTTATTAAAAAAAAAATTATAAATATATTTATAATAAATAATAATATCATAATTTTACAATACAACTCTGATAATTCATCATTATTTAATTATTATAACACCACTAAATATAAATTAAAACATAAAATTTGAGTATTAGTATTTATAAAAATTAAAATTAAGAGAAATACTAGTTAAAATCTTACCTATGATTTTTTTTTTTTAATTTGAACATATATTATACACACGCTTAGTCAATAAACTATGGTAACACTTTCCTACAGTCATAGTATATTTTTATAGTATTTATACACACAGTCATTTATACCAATACAAAATAGATATAATTTCCAGTACAATACAATTTTGATTATTTTAAACTAATTGACTCATAACACTATAAGATAAAATACATATATGTATATCCCATTTAATATCTTTGCAATAGTACTTCAAGATTTTTATATGGTAGAAGGAAAAGAAAAATTAAAAATATGATGAAATGATGCGCTACTAAGTGTCGATATTGCACATGACGAAATATTACGACCATTTGTCGTGCGTCCATATGACCACGAAGAAAAGACGTATATCCGTAATATAAAGTGTCAATAATAATAATATAAATACGTGTTATGGAATTGATTCGACTTTAAGAAGAATTCATTCATATTTTTTTATTTTTTATTCTGTTTTATATTTGTTAATTTGCATTCATTTCGCACGTTCTCATCTGTGCAATTCTAAACTTCAGATGTCGTAGAAAGAGTACGCAAAACTTACACACTAACTGTAGGGATGTTCTGTGTATTGTATAAAAGTTGGTACGGTAATTAGATGTAATAAGGTATTTATTACAGCAGCGAACATTACATAAATTATTGCTGTACAAATCGAAAACTAAGGCATTATAATCATTTTGAAAACTTAACCATTGAATAATTTATCAACATCTGTGATTTAAAATTAAACTCGTTTTTACTAACATTTCACAGTTTTATAGCGGATTTTTTTCCTGTCTTTTTGCTAGGTATAATTTATATTATTTATTTATTCAGTACATTTCGACGAATCTTCGTCGTTCGAAAAAAAAAAACAGCGGTACACAAGCAATGGTTTCCACTTACTCGACATAATGCGGCGGTATGGCCAAATTAATTTTAGGGAATTCTCATTTTGCAAATGTTATTGGTGCCGTAAAAAGACGACCACCGCATGCGTGGCAGTCGTTCAACTATATCGAAATCTCTTTCGTACAGTTGCCGGTTAGTATTGTATAACAAAATCTACGGGAAATACGTATAGATATAATGTACAATATCGTATACCTAGACACCGCACGCATATGTCATATAAAACGGAGACAACTGCGAAACGGATGGTATATTTATTTGTTGTTTTAATACTGATGGCCGCTGACAGATCACGATGGAATAATAGAAGAAATGCAAGTTTATGCGCTATATGTATATATATATATATGTACATACAAATATACAATTGTATAACATTGCGGTGATTTAAACCAGGGTCTATATACTACGGTCTACATGCGAATTCCGGCCAGTTAAGCTTTACGACTGGTCCACTACGCTAACTGATATTTTCAAAATATATGTTTTCAGTTTATTAGTTTTCTGTTAAAAAAAATAAATAAATAAATAAAAATAATGAAACAAAATGGTTTTATTTGGTTAAGCAATTATAAATGAAATATTAAAACATGGAAATAGATTAATTCTTACCTATACCTTCGATCTCATTATCGTTTTCCTATTTTTAATCGATTTTGGCTCACTATTCCAAAGCGTATTTAAAATTTGACAAATCGTTAAAAATTGAAGAAAAAAAGTCTAGACCACCTTGATTTATATCATTGTTTCAACTTTTATTTTATTTTCGCTTGAATACGATTGAAAATCCGCACTCATATACGATAAATGTAGATTCTGGCGAGATTTAAGATTTACTTCTAATTTACTCATATACTATGGCTACTGCAGTACATACAAGTTTGTTGAATAAGTATGGATGGGTTTCCCTGAAAACTTTTCTCTCCGTCTCGTATTTTTTTCTTTTTTTCAGTAGGCTGAACTTAGTCCGATTTCTCAAACCCGACGTCATGTCAATCACTATACGCGCACGTACGTGCAATGGTGTTGTTCTCGACCCCAGTGCTTTTTCTTTCGTCGCGCGTCGCACGTGTTTTGAATGCACTCCAATCGGCGACAACGGTGGCAGCGATAGTGGCGGCAATGAGTGAAAAGGTTTCTTATAAAATTCACCGTCATGACTCACGAGTATTCATCATCTTTTTGACTTAACCGTGTCAAAAACAACTATAAGGGACGTCCTTAAATAGGTTATAACTACATCTGTTGGACTTTGGTAACCTCACATCACACAAACAATTTTATCTTATGGAAACCAATATCTGTTCAAATCATATTTAGTGTTTACAGAAACTTGCACGGGTAAAATTTTTTCGATCCACTCTGATCTGATTATTTTATAACTGCCCGATTTGGATCAGACAAAATTTAAATTAAAAACCAGTCATAGCCCCATAGTAACATTTTCCATAAAAATTGGGTTCGTATAGAATTTCTTATAATCGCCTGAGCATTTTTTTTTTTTTTTTTTTATGTTAGGTATATAATAAATTGTTCATTTATGTGGTATAATTATAAACAAACTCATTTTAATTGTTTCTATTTTTTTTTTTTTTTTTTTTTTTGTTGAATTTATCAAAATATTAAAAAGAAAAAAATTATTTAAATTATTTGCTTTCAAACATAAAATTTACCAAAGATTATGACTTTGGTCTTTTTTTCTTATTTTTCCTTTAATAGATTTTTCATTTTTTTTCTGTAGATAATATGTGCAAATATGGTGAGAATTGAACCCGTGCTAGAGAATCGTGATTCGTTCGAACCATTTTATCCTTTTGCGTACGCAAGGATTAATGCCGTATACATATAGCCTAACCTGAAAATTATTTATGCTTCTTAAAATTAAATGATATTTCTGCTTAGTCAGAAATCTATATATAATTTTTTATGTGAGGGTAAATTAAAAATGTCATGAGCAGCCAAAGGTTAAACTATCTTTGTAATTTTCAATTTCTGTGTTCGGTACTTATAAATTATATTGTTACCCATTATATTATAACACATTCTGCCATATTAATTTAAATAAACTGTTTTATAATTAGAGTCATGAAGTGTTATAATAATAATAAATTATATTTTATTTTTATAAGACACAGAATTTCAAGCCTGTAGAACTGCTTTGGTTTTTATAATTTAATTATTTCACTTTTGTACTTTTGTCAGTTAATTTTGTACTATTTTATTTGTTTCTCTCATACTGTTTGTACAATTTGTATAATAATTATGGAAATTAAACTTAAACGATCAGTGGCCTATCATAGATCACATACAATTAACTGTTAGATATTTTGAATATTTATGTCTCGATAAAGATTTGGTGACATTAAATATGTATAATTTTGA